GGGGGCGTCCCTGGGAAGGAGCTCCTCCAGCAGAGGCTGAAGGGGGGTATTGGGGGTGGGTGGTCAGGGGGCTGAGTTTCCACCACCCCCCTCAGTAAAGAAGCCTTGGGGCTTGGAAGGGGGCTCAGGTCCCCCCCTCCCCACAAGTAGGTGCAAGTAGGTTATTTCACCCACTTTCCTCTGCTTATCAATTTATTCCACTTTCTCCCTGTCAGGGTAGAAATCATGTGTGGCAATGCAGGATCCTCCTCATTTCCCATCACGCACATCATCAATTAGTGTCACCCCTTTCCCCCCCCCCTTCCCAATTTTGGCTTGGCTCCTCTGGTCTTAGGGTAGCGATAAATACTGGCCACCCAGCCTTCAGGAAGTGATTTTTTATTTTTAGTTTTAATTTTTTAAAAAAAAAATACTCAAAATGGTCATTCTATTGAACTCAGCAAAGCTTGCTGGGGAGTTAATGTGGCCGGACACGTCCAAGGGTTTGATTCATCGGTGGAGCTGGTGCCTGGGAAAAGGTTCACTGTAGAGAGTTGGAGGTGGGCATGCAAGCAGAAATGGCTGTTTTAAGAAATACTGTAAAATAAAAAGAAAAGAGGAAGGAAGTAAACTGGTTGAGAAAGGAAAGGTGTGAAAGTTTCTCACCTTGGCAGGTTGGGGAAACTGGCAAGGCGGAACAATAGTGGGACTTGAATTGAGTCATTTTCTCTCCCCAACCTCTGTCAAGGATGCGGAAGGTGCAGGTAAGCCAAGGGTACTGGCTCTGACAGTTCATCATGTAAAACATGTGATCTGGCCAAGATTTGTGTGGATGAGGAATGGAGGAGCTTATGTTTCTCACTTCCCAATGCTTGAGGCGAAGAAGCAAAAGGACACGTGTTTGAATCTTTAGGAAAGAGGGGGAAAAACAGAAAGGAAGGGTGAATTTATAAGATAGAGGAAAGTGTGGCTTGTGTTAAGCCACCTCCAAGCATTCAACTTTGAGAAAAGCCTCTAAGGAGAAGCCTCCTTAGTTCTGAGTCTTATATGTAGGAGAAAAATATATAGAAATAACATTTTAATGAATCTGTAATGTTTGTGTAGGTAAGGGTAGCATTTTACAGTGAAGTGATCTGTAAGTGATCAAGGAACAAGTAAAAAAAAACAAAGGTGTAATCTTTTCTACAAGGAAATGAGATGGAATAACAAGAAAATTAGATGGAATAACTATGATGCGTTATGTGGCTGGACTCCCTAAAAAACATGTTCAACTGACATGGAAAGTTGTAGAATCTGCCAGTGGAAAAAGCACATTTGGTATAAAAAGGCTGCTATGACAGTTCAGCAGCACCAATGAATTTTTAAGGGAAGAGAACCACCCATTTCTCCCGATGTCATAAGGAGTAGAAGTTCATGCAGTGTATGTGCTACTCTTTAAGCAAATAATGGGGTAGGGCCTATAGGGAAAGGATGGAGGCCACTGGGAAAGTTCTCAAGGAAGGTATAGGCTGCTCTTGGGGAATGATGCCTGAATCTTGAAAACAAGGAGAGGACGCCAGGAAGGAACAGGATCTTGAAGCCGTTAGAATCTTCTTTCCCTCATCCACTAGTATGTGCATGAGCTGGATGCTTGATAAGAGTATCCTCGTAGACCTGCGTCAGTTTTATTATAGAAGTGGGTATATCCCCAGTTCCTTATTATACCAGTTTCGTATTTTTTTTTGGAGGGGGGGAGAAAGTTCGGTAGGAATTGCTCCTTTGTTATAATGACAGCTCTTGGGTCAGATAAGATGTCTGCTATCATTGTACCCACTATGTTCACCATGTGGTTAGTATTACAATCCAAAGGTTATTTACACATAGCAGTAGGTAGAACGCAACATTTCTACACAGGATCCCTAGAACAGGTAGTTGTAGAGGAGTGCTAAGTAGACTGAATTAAAAATAGAGTCCAGACAGTAACATTCAATGAAGCTTGTTAAGATAGAGACCTTTTACCTTCCAATTTCTTAATTAACTACCCAAATTTTAAATGCAATTGTTTCTTACTTTGTTCTGCAGAAGACTACAATAAAGTACACTGGACATACCCTTTCCTGTGTCTTTTCATGGCTGATGAAAAGCCCTTTTCATTAGGACTTTGGTGCTTGCCAAAATCAGAACTGGAAATTGGTGTTCCAAGTCATCTTAGCCAATCCTCTCTGTTGCCAGGATTTTCTTGGGTTTGTGGAGGACAGCATGCATTTGAAGGTTTTGAAGCCACTCTTTTTACATGGGCCATGAACTGTTAAGTTCCAAATAAGATCAAATTTAGTTTTTTTGTGTCTAGCTCAGTTGCTTTCAGATGTTGAATATGGAACAGAACAGGGGGAAAAACAAGATGGAAGAAACCTAAATTCACCTCTCATGATGCAGTTGCTGATTTCAGATACAGAAACTGTGTAATGGCCCTTTTGAATTTTTGTTCAATTTCAGAGTAAGTGCAGAACTGAGAAATTAGTCAGTAGATACATGTCTAGGTAACACACACAACTTTTTCACTCTTCAGTGTGTTATATGGTCACTCATACTTTTTTTGTTCTTTCTTATAATACGCAAGGTGGCTTCAAGGCAGTGATTCTTAGTTTTATAACCTCCAGCTCTTTTAGATTTCACTTCTCAGAAGCCATAGGTAGCATTGCCAGTGGTAAGGCATTCTGAAAATTGGAGCCCAGAGCAGCTGAAGGACCAAAATTTGAGAATCACTGCTCTAAGGCATTCAAGTAAATGCCTTGCAGACACTTACACTTATAACCTCCCAGATGGTAATCTGTTTTGTGTCAAAACCACGGGATCAATGTTGAAATAGAGATTTAGTTCCAAGACAGTTCTCAAGCCTCTATACCACTCTCCTCACCTTCTCCACCCTGCCCCATCCTCTACTGTTGAACTTGCTTCTTCTGCACATCTTAGAAATCTCCTCTCTGGCTATCCTATGCTGATTTGCTTGGTCCTTCCGTTATCTTCATCTTCCTCCGTGGTTGTACTTTCTAACACCAGTGTGCTGCTCATAGGAGTTTTAAAAAGTGGGTTTTGAACGTGAGTGGGAGGTATTGGGTAATATTGCAGTGGTTGTAAAAGCAGGTGTTGTAAAATGAGAAGTTGAGAGTGTACTGCATAACTAGAAGTACTTACCAAATGTGGTTTGATGTCTCTGAAGCTAATATACGTATCAGTTTCTTAGATGATTAAACCCGAATTGCATGCCTATTCTGAATCAAGTCCTAGAGTTCATTAGGGCCAACCATGCTGTGTTTCATCTAATCTTGAGAGATCTACTTGAATTCTCCTCAGATAGAATAAATATTTAGTCCTTGGTGTTTTTACCAGGCCAATAGTACCATTATTGGACTAGATGTATAGAGAACTCAATTCAGATTCTCACTATGTCATGGATTTTTCTCTGTGGTTTTTGCCTAGGAGCCCATTCTCAACCTAAAATATTTTATAAGGTTGCTTTGAGCCTATACTATGGTGGGGTGGGTAGAACCATGTAAGCAGCCGTGAATATCTGGACAGAAATGTGATACAGAATGTAAGAAATCGTGTGAGGAGCATGAAAACCGTTTGGGACCAAGGGTAAACCTAGTTCTTCTGCTTGTCCTGTCATTGCAGACTCATGCAGCTCCAAAAGAAAGGTGCAAATTTTGATTCCAAAATAAAAGTGAAGAGGTGAAGAGGTGCTGAAAGAACCCAGTATCCAGGTGACTATCTGCCTTCACAACTTCTTACGCTGTTGCATGTGTTTGTGAGTTTTCTTGTCCAGATTCAGTCAATAGCTATAGCTGCTGATGGTTGTCTATAAAACATTCTATTATGATAGCTGCAATTTCAGGGATTAGAAATAGAGTGGTGTTTTTTCTTTGACTTTTGGAAGATTGTCCCAGAGGATTTACATGAGCTTCTTGGATTAGTTACTCTAAATTTTGCATGAGATAGCTATTCAGTGAACGTGATTCTTGTTGTCAGTGTCACTAAATTTAATGAGACTTACCCTAAACGTGTATACTTACATTGTGATGTTAGCACGTTAATGTCTGTATTGGGCATATGTCTTGATTATGAATATTTTAAATTAGGTAGAAATCCTAATGAAATAAATTTCAAAATAAGAGAAAGAGGCAATCCAGCTAGAACAGAGTAAACCCCTTGTGATGGATTAACTTCTAGTTGACTCTGCAAATTTTTTTGAACGTCAATTCTTCTGTCATTTAAATTGGCCTAGTTTGCACATATATATTAGCTTAATATGCTGTGTGCCTTCACAATACTTCTGCCTGCATCAACCTCATACTTAATTTTCTATCCTCTCCTCTAACAGTGTTGAAATTAACCCAGAAAGTCTCCAGTCAACTTATTGACTGGAATTCTTATGTTTAGTGAGCAAATCATGATTAATGAGAAAGAGAAACAGGCCATGATTACACTATGGTTTGACCTTCTTTAAGATACTGACTTGTTCTCATTCTGGCTCTGATTTAAGGGGAAACCAGCTGAGAATTGTGGCTAAGAAAGGAAGGGGTGACATGAGTACGAAGCAGGCAGTCTCAAGGCTCATGAATTTCTTTAGTTCCTAAATTGAGATGCATATTTCTGAACTGGGTCACTGAGTGCAAATCCCTGACAATTAAAAATCCCTTGTGATATGTGCTTAAAGTAATAAAAGTCTTGAATGTTTGCTGGGTACTGTTGATGTGATTGTATAAAAGAGTTGCATACTGTTTTTGATCACTGACGCTCAGTGTTGTTTCAAGGAGCTCGCAGGTATTACAAGGAATCTGAAAATATATCACATGAATCGGAGAGTAAACAACAAAGGGTGGAATATATTGGTTGTAATTAATTATACATTAAAAGCTTGATACCAGCTTTTGTACTGCTTCTACTTGTGTACAGTATTATTTGTCCAAGTATAGCCAAATGATTGCACTGCTTGTGTTGCAATGCTGTTAGGAAATCTTTACACCCTTTATAAGAGCTTGTTTGCAGGTGTTCAAATGGCAATCCTGTTGCTAAACATTGCGCATCTAAAGTTACAGATGGCATTTTCTAGCCATCTGAACTTGATGTTAAGTGGAGACATTTAGATAATGTATTTGCTGTCCAAACATTTGACTGCTAATGTCAAAAAGGTGACACTTGTATTATAGGGTAAAAGTGAGAATTGTGTGACTCCCAGATGTTGTCAGAGTGCAACTCCTGTTTCCTGTCACCACTGGCTTAGGGCTCATTTGAGCTGCAGTCCATCAATGTGTGGGCAATGGCTGTATCTTCCACACAGCTGATGCAGTATTTCCCTTGATATGGTTTCAAAGTGAAGCAAAACAGGAGTCTTCCTATGAGCCCAAATAGTATACAGGGCCCCTAATACTTCACACACTATACACAAGTCAACAAATATAGGCTGTTATAAATATATTATTTCTGTACAAACCAAATCATCTGTGTAGAGGCTAAAGAGACTTCCAATGTTCTAGTAAGATAGAACATTTTTTTAAATTTCATTTTTTGCTTAGATAGGATAGTGGGTGGGTAGAGATGGCTTACACAGGACTACCATAAATGAAATGTCAGTGAAGGAAGGGCTGAATGCATGCTTTAAAGACTCAAGTCAAATTCTGTTCACTTAAATTTTATTCATTGTCAAAATGCAGCTGCTTCACAAATGTAGTGGTGGAACTGCCATTCAGTATTGCATAGCAACACAAAGCAGAGTGCGCTAGCGTTTTTTCACTCCCCATTTTGTCTTCAGCTGACATTACTAAGGGAGGAACCTTAAGACTATTTCTACTTGAAATACAGTAGTATTGCATATACATATATTGCAGTGACTTATGGTTTTAAGCAGTCAACCAATAAAGTAAAGTAATGCGTATACATATAAAGTCTCTGTACCATTTTAATATCTATAAAATGGTTTGATTATGACTTGTGTTGTCCCAAAAGAAAAAAAAATCAGAGGTCTACCCCTCCCTGCAGACTATATTGTACCTTTACTTGGACAACTAAAGGGATAATAGCAGTGCAAATGGGGAAGACCTTTTGGGGAAAGCCTGTAGTTCAGAAGGTTTGATTCAGTACCCAGCATCTCCAGGTAGAAGTAAGAAAGGCTTTCACCTGAAACTCAAGCGACCTCCTACCAATTATACAATATTGCACTCCATGGATAAACGGTTTGGCTTGATAAAAGGTGATTTTCTGTGTGGTAGTATATTGATAGTACTGCCATACTTCATGAAAAGATCTGCAACAATTTGCAGAGATCATGTGGAATGGGGAACATAAGCTCATTTTACAATATAAGGTTGTTTCATTTGTAAAGACTTGTGTTCTAAACAACAGATATTTATTTACTGTTTTGAAGAAATGTTTTCTGTGCTAGAATAGATAAGAGCAAACCTTTCCTCTACTTAGAAAAAAAATTACAATTTACACAAGCAAAGTAATGCACATGTAAGGTGAAGGAAGTGTAAAATACCTCACTGGTACTTGACAACTGGAATGCCACTAAAGCTCAGCACCATTGGGTAACAGTTAACTGCTAACAACAAGAGTTGTAAGTGGCAGATAATAACAAGAAGGGGATAAAATAGTACCAACCAAGAAAACACTGCTGTTTGCACCCATGAAAGATGCCTAAGTCTGTAGGTTTCCTATACAGGTTATCTGTTATAATCTGGTGGAGGGAACTGGGTTTCTGAGTCTGTGATATGGTCATAAATAAAGCCACTAGGATTTATGTCTGTTTTAAACCGACTAATGACATTCCAATTGTATAATGTTACCTTAAATTTGTGATCTGCAGCTATAACAGGGAAGAAAAGATGTCAGATAACTTTTCCATATAACTTTGGAATGAGTTGTAGGCATGTGGGTTGTTTTGTTTTGTTAACCATAGTGGATGGACCATTATTCCACTGCATTTCTTTTTGTTAATAGTGGATTCTTTATGAGTTTAGTGTTTGCATTTCTGTACTGAAGGAAGCAAGAAAGCAGGTTTGTCGACGTTTCATTGCTGTACTTGCTTCTCTTGGTCCTCCTCAGACTTTCATTTCCAAGTTACGTAATTTGAAATGGATGAATAAAAATTGCCTCCATAATTAAAAACTTTTTCTAATGCCTTTTGGTTTTAGGGTGCCTGCAATCTTTGTGACCCTTTAGAGAATTTGACAATGTTATTCCATTTTTCTTGCTTTGTTTTATCAAGACTGCATTCTTCATTTCAAGGAGAAGCTGGCTGCTTGACTTCTTATACCTACAAACAAGGTTATGTATAATGAAGATGAAAAACAAAACTTTCAGAAAGTGACCTCTACCGATAAGGTATTTTTCTTTTCTTTTAATGGAACACTTAGCCTTCTCTCTTGGAATATATCTTGTGCTTCTTACTCAGCTTTTCAATGGTGCAGGGCGTGTAGGACTTACTCATTCAGAACTGCCTCCAGAAATAGTGTTGGGGATAAATGTCCTGGTGTTTTGAAGTATGAGGATTTTGCTTACAGATTTTTCTTGTCTCCATTTGCATGACAGAAAGCATATTCTCGTTATTTATTTGAGTGTGGAAACGGTTTCTCCAGGAGAATCAAAACACTTTGAGATTAACTGAAATCTTGTCCCATAAGCTATACCATGTAAAGCTGATAATGTCATCAGGCTGATAATGTCATCAGTCCCAGTAGTTTTTTGGAAAAAAAAAATTCCGATTCCCCTTGAGGCTCCTGCTTTTTAATGGTCTTTCATTGTTGGGAAGCTCTTGGGAGCAGGTGGAAACTTTTTAGCTATCAGAAATCGCCACTGCCAGGATGACTTTACCAGTAGCAGCAGCTTTCAGTGATGAAGGGGATTCCACAAGAGCCTCAAAATTTTCCCAGGGGGAAAGTGGACAGTGATTTTTCTGAAAAATTGCCAAATAGTTAATGACATCATCAGTCTTATATAACTAAATTTATGGGATAGGATTTCAGCTGGCAAATAGGAAATCCAGAATAATGCTAGAAGCCCGCTGTAGGCATCATTATTCTACAAAAGGTGTACAGACTGAAGCTTTAAAGAACTTGCAAAGCCAGGAAAATTGAACCTGAAAAACAATATAAATTGATTTCATCTGTCAAATGAAATGATTGTTTATGATTTTCTGTGTAAGTGTGTATAAATTTAAGATTTTCTGCTGTTTGGGGGTTAAAATGGAAGCATTCACCCCATCCTCCTTTCATACATGTTGCAAACATACATCTGCAAACTGGGGTAAGAAAAGCTGCTAGTGTGTTCACATAAGTCAAAGGAATGCATTGCAAATAATGAAACATAACAGGAGTTATGAGATGATTTGGTTGGTTGGATAGTCTCTTCGATTTAAGGTGTAGCTAGTGTCACTGTTTGTAAGCAGCATAGGGATTAGCTTTCCCCAACCTGGTGCCATCCCATTGTGTTGCAGTACCCATACATGTCAGTCCTGGTTAGCAGGACTGGGTCTCCTAGATGGGATGCTGAGAACAGATATGTTGCAAATACTATACTATACGTTTCGAATACCCCTAGTCACTTAGATATTTTTCTATATGGTCATGCATTCATATCAGAAAAGCTTCACTGAACGTGTTCTGAGGTATCCTCTGATCAAACTAAAGTTCCAGCATATTGAGGGCTAACAGTATGGTTAGTACTGTTGTTAGGTTTACTGTAAGTTTCAGCTTAATTGATGCATATTGTGTTTCCTCAATATGCTGAGTATTTCCCTTGGTGTGGGACTCACCTGCTAGCAACCAGAGACAGCTGTCAAACCTACAGCTGTCAAACCTACAGTTCAATGCATTCCAGTGGGTGGGAAAAATTCACCAAAAATTAACGAAGACTCAGAACAAAGCCAAATTAAGTTTGCAAAGGTTTTACAGGGTGCCCTAACAATTCCAAGTATTTTAAACAGTTTTTGAACATTTTAAGACACACTTGAAATAGAGAAAACGGACATCGCTAAGCGAAACAGGGAACCTAAACTGTCGTCGCTAAGCGAAGCAAGGTCCCGAAAATCACTATGCGAAATTTCCCCATTGGAAACATCGCTAAACGGAGCGCAAGATTGCTCCAAAAACCTCATCGCTGAGCGAATACATCGTTAAACGAGGTAATCACTAAGCGAGGCACCACTGTATTTTATTAGTTTTCATTTCTCCTTATTTACATGTTTCTCTGCTTAAAAACCTTTTCTGCTAGGTACCTGGTATGAGCTTTGACTAGAATCTCTTAAGATCAATTTTAATATTTAATTTGATTTAGAATTCAGTTTTAAAAGGAGTAGAAGTTTAGAGACAAATGCATGAAATACTGTAGTCTTGGTACAATACTGTGCTATAGTATGTTTGAGTCTTCTCCAGAATAAAAGATAACAGCAAATATAGTGGCATGCTTTAAAATCCTACATTTCTCATAGCCTCAACTGATAGATCACTTTAGGAAGTCATGACTGGAATTTAGAGGTCTGCCATGCAGTGCTGTTACTGCTAAAGTCTCATCATCTTCAGGAATGGCTTTTTGGGAGTATAACAAATGATGGTGCAGGAATCTCTTTGTCTTTGGATCGTGTCCTTTATCTCTAATTATTGCTGGTGAAATAAATGGGGTTTTTGGGGGGTTTTTTGCCCTGCTCCTTTCTGACTTGTATGTTGTCAATTCAAGGTGAGCACTGAGACCTCATGACCCTGCTATAAGTGGTGGATTCCGCGAGAATGTTAAATCATCACTGCCGAAGGAACCCTGAGCTACAGGAAGAGTTGCAGATTCAGGCTGCAGTGGCTGCCGGGGATGTTCACACGGTGCGCAAGATGTTAGAGCAGGGCTATTCTCCAAATGGCCGAGATGCCAACGGTTGGACTTTGCTTCATTTTTCAGCAGCAAGAGGGAAAGAAAGATGCGTTCGTGTATTCCTCGAACATGGAGGTTGGTTGACTTAGGAATTTGTGGTTGTCTGGAAAACACTGGAGAGACTTTTGAATTCTTTTGTCTTTTATTATCACCGTGTCTCTTTTTGCAGCTGGCAACACACATTTTAATGGCAAGCTGGGTACATTTTAACTTACATTCCCTCGAGCTGTAACGATTATGGAGCAATTTTTTTTAAAAAAAAGCCTGAGCATGCTATTACGCCTATTATGTAATTGCAAAGTCCACCATGGAGTGGAACTCCTTTGTTCAGTGTCTCGAGCATTGCACCGTTTTGGCAAAAAAGAAAAGGCCAGATGTTTATGAAGTTCCTTACTTGGAGGGAATAACCAGTAGAAGTTTCTTTTATGTTCCAGTGTCTTCCCTTTGAACCAGGAACTTGTGGGTGGGATGTTCGGCATCATACTACGTTATATAAAATGGCCTGGAACTGATTTAGTTTCATATAAACTAGGGACAACTCACAAATCAGCAAAGTCGGGATAAGCCAGCAGAAGAACTTGTAACTGAATCCACGAACGCTTGCAGTGGCAGTTCTTAAGTTAACTCTTTACAAGTTTTGTAGGGGCTGGTTAGGGTGGGCAGATGCCAGCAAAATTCTGCACACCATGGAAGTGCCGATTTGTAGCTTGGTATCTGTCAGTGGTTCCCAACCTGGGATCCCCAGATGTTTTTGGACTGCACCTTCCAGAAATCCTAGCCAACACAGCTCGTGGTGAAGGCTTCTGAGAGTTATAAGTCCAAGAACCTCTGGGAACCCAAGGTTGAAAAACACTGGTATGTATATATAAATCTAGTACAAGCAGAGGTATGTAGTAGAACATAAGAACTGGAGATGTAATCCACCTTTCTTCATGTTCTTAATTACCACCTGGTATAATTGATGTTGTGGCCAAAGTGTTTTAATTATTGAACTCCTTTTTTAGTCAGTTCGCCCTGCTGCGTTGGATCAAGTTCACCTCACTTAGCCTGTGTCTCTTTGTGTTGAAACTATTAAAAATGAGTTTTTGTGATTCAGTACTTAAAGCTCTCTTCGAGTTTCGGGGTGTCCCATCTTTATTTGTGTGGATGTGTTCTGTAACTATGAAGCTCTTGCCGCTTAAAAGTTGTCAACTTCAGTAGAGATTTGGGTCTTTAATAAGAGGGACAGGTTTTGCCACAAAATGTACTTTGAACCTTCGGGGAAGACAGGGTGAACTCGAAAGATAGAGAAATGAGGTGCAGAGAAGAGTTGTCGGGTATTTGGGACTTCTGCAGTAAGCCTGAGCGCTTGTGTTGTGCAGCGTTAGGAGAGGAAATATTCTAGATCTGGTAGTAAATAAGGGCTGCTTTTCAATCCTTGCTGAGATATATGGGGCCAGAAGATGGCAGTATAGCACTTGCCAAGTAGATCTGGGACAGTGAGTAATTTGCAACCTCAAATTCCTTTTTAGGAGTTTTGGTATCTAATATTCTCCATCCCTTTTCTGCATGTGTAGCTATTTATCAAATGATTTTTAAATATTAAATATTTCTAGCACTCAGTAATATTTGATGTCACTATTTGTTAGCAGAATGTTTAATATTTGCCAGCTGACATACAATGGTACATATAACGAAGCACATTTATAGCTTTCTGCATTCTGGGGGTACTTTTCACATAAACGCAACCGTGTCCTGTGTAACACACGGGAACTCTGCAGCACTCTAAACTTTGTCCACACAAGGCAATATTAAGCCTTTTCATTACCTTCTCGTTTCATTGTCCATCAGCAGGACAAGCAGCAGTGCCGAGAATAACTTTCTTTCAAATATTCTCTTCATTTTTAAATGCACCTGGTCAATTATTTGGAAATCCCTTACACCTATGATTGTAGTGAGATGGTTGATGTGCAGGGATATATTTAACATCATATACAGTTGACTGAATGGCTTTTTGTTTTTGTTTTAGCATTTGATACAAAGCATAAGTTATTTAGTATTTGATAGTTGACAGTTAGTGAGATTTCCAAGGATTAAGTTTCACTTGTTTTGAGAACTATTTGTTTTAACTCGTGCAGTAAGGATTAGTGACTCGCAGGCAGTGCCCGGAGGAGGTGTGGCAGGGCAGACAGGGTGCGGCCCCTGAGTGGGCACCTGCTGGGAAATGCCGAACACCTGTTCGACTGAGAAACAAATTGGCACAAACTGGAAGTTTGGCAATTCATGCCCATCTCTAAGCAGCAGTAATGATGCATGGAGATAACCCCAGTTATAGATAATGATGAAGCCTGGGTTCCAAGTACCATGTCAGTTGCATATGAGCAAAACAACTTCTAGGAAGGGAGCATGAGGGAAATAATAAGTACACCTTAAACGTCTTGACAACAGAGTTATCCAGAGGTGGGGGACAAAACCTGTGCTATTTCTTTGAATCTCGATATTTTGCCATATCTTTTCTTTTCTCAAAATTAGATGTTTACATTCTTGCAAAATCTTAACGTTTTGTGAAACGGCAAACTCAGATTATTTTCATTTTATTTTAAAAAACACTTTTTATCAAGATGATCTGAACTAGCATATAGCTTACATGCTTTGGAAATGCTGCAGACCACAGAGGACTTTCTTTACCTTATACAGTATTACACCCCCCCCCAAAAAAAATAAGCTCATCCTGCCAGACCACAATACATCCGCATCTTGGGCCAGCAGATGTTGCTACACATGCTTCTCTTTAAGACCAAGAAGCACAAGGGAAAACAAAACACTGAAAGAACCATGAAATGTTAGAGTTGGAGGGATTAGGGTAGGTAGAACTACCTTGTGCAGTTGGATTTAGGGTGTATAAAGGAAACTGCATTCTATGCACAACTTTTTCTATTTATTTTTGCCTTGTTTTGATGCAAAATGCAGTCACAGAGTAAACTTAATTGTAAGCACGTATAACTTCCAGGACTCAGACAATTTATTAATATATTCATGTATTCATCAGGAATCAAAACCAAATCCAAATTTTAGTCAATCTATTTTAAATTTAAATGGATGGCTATGGTGTTATTCTTTTTGTTTGAAATCTTGGTACGTAATATTGATCTATAGCATTAATCTTCCAGCAGTGGAATATAATGTATCCAGGGAGATGTGTCCTAAAAACAATATAGTACCAAAACATTTTAAAAACTTGTCTTATTGTTAGCTTGCCTTTCCCCTTGCTCTTATAGTCTTAGCTGCACTACTTGGTTAGAAAGTCTCAAAACGTGAGTGGTATGCGCTCAGCCAGTAGCTGCACCTGTTAAGATTCCCTAAAGTTGAAAAGCTCTTCAATAAAATTGAGCTTCTCTTAAGCATTGGAAGTAGACAGGGATTCCCCCAGGTTTGCATTTATTTTATCATGTTTATTTAAGTGATAAAATGAACAAAATATATTGTTACACATTACACAGGTTTCCAGTGAATTGATCAAAGGCAAGATTATTTACATGCCTTGGATTCCACTCCTAGTAATTTTAGCAGTGTGTTGTGGGGGGGAGGGGAATTTTCTAAGACTGCTTAATGACATCTAATTCTCTGCACTTTTTTGGAACTTCAGCTGACCCGACAGTGAAAGACTTAATTGGAGGCTTCACTGCTCTGCATTACGCAGCCATGCATGGCCGAGCCCGGATTGCACGCTTGATGCTGGAATCGGACTACCGTGTTGACATCATTAATGCAAAGAGCAACGATGGCTGGACTCCCCTGCATGTGGCGGCTCATTATGGCAGAGACTCATTTGTACGACTCCTATTGGAGTTCAAGGCTGAGGTTGACCCGCTCAGTGACAAAGGTACTACGCCACTTCAGCTGGCCATTATCCGCGAGAGGTCCAGCTGTGTCAAAATACTCCTCGATCACAATGCCAATATTGACATTCAGAATGGCTTCCTCTTACGTTACGCTGTGATCAAAAGCAATCATTCCTATTGCCGGATGTTTCTTCAGAGAGGAGCAGATACAAACTTGGGGCGTTTAGAAGATGGACAGACACCGTTGCACTTATCGGCTCTTAGGGATGATGTGCTCTGCGCACAGATGCTATATAACTATGGTGCAGACACTAATACAAGGAACTATGAAGGACAAACTCCACTGGCAGTTTCAATAAGTATTTCTGGAAGTAGCCGACCTTGTTTGGATTTCCTGCAGGAAGTAACACGTATGTATATTGGGAGTCTTTAATTGACATTATTCAGTGGTCTTTCTTCAGGGGTACTGCTGGGATGTTGGGTATAATGAAGACAAAGTTCTACCATTGGGACACTCTTCTAGAGGAAAGAAATAAGTTGGGATTGACTGATTCCTCCTCCTCCTCCTCTCTGCAGCCTTTAACATCCACACACACACACACACCAAAATGGGGGGTAGGGTGCTGCTTAATTCCTTATGGCTACACAGTAAGTCTTCTTAGTATTTTGTTTCTCAGGATACCATTCAATCTTAGGTCTAGGATAGTGGCACTAAACCGTTGCTGATCATCCTGTGATATATTATTATTCAGGGATATTATTGGCACCATCACAACACAGTTCACCAAAAAGATTCTTTTTTTCTAACAGTTATTTGATTCGTTATCCGGATTCATTTTTGTTTCTGCTCATGATGCATTGTTGGTTTGTTTATCTGACTGGAAGAAGAAAATGGTAAGGTGGATTAGATAGCACACTGAAAAGAGCAGAGCCAGTGAGTAATGCTCCATAGTGATGTGCAATGTGCAGTTGTGCCAGTGTACAAATACAGCATGTTATTAAAAGCAGCTGGAGTATAGTAGGCTGTAGACTGGTCTCTGTTCAGCAGCAAGCACCCTTCCCATCTTTCTAAGCATTACTGAGTTGTGGGTCCATATCTCGTGAAATATCCGCAATCATTGACTGTAGTTCTGAGGATTTTTTTTCATTGATAGTTGTGACTGAGGATTTTTTTTCATTGATAGTTGTGAATCTATGCTGGCATTAATTGCACAAATTGCAGCAGCAAATTGCTGCTAATTAATAAATTGTGTAACATTTTCCAGTTGTGTGTCATGACTGGCATGCAGCTTACAATATGAATGGCAATCCATTGATTAGCAGTGATTTGGCAATGCACAATAATACTTCAGATTAGGCATCCTTCAGTCTCAAGAGACCATGATAACGTGCTCCATATGGCGGACTTGGAACAGCATCTAGTGTGGCTGAGAAGGCCAATTCGAGAGTGACAATCCCTTCCACACTGAAGATAAATCCAATCTGACCCCTGTCCAGCTCCCTGATTTTGCTGCTTTCGGGACTGCCTCTTTGCCTTGATGTGTTGGGCAAGGGTCTCGTCAAATTGGGAGAGGCCGTGATGCACCGCCTGCCTCCAGGTTGAACACTCAGATATCAAAGTTTCCCATGTCAAGGAGATCTGATGTTGAGCCATCAAAAAGAGTCATGGTGGACATCCAATCTTGGGAAGTATTTTTAAAAAGGCCATCCCTGTTAACCAAATCAAAGGCGAGATCTATGAAGGCCACAAAGAGTGGCTGTTGTTTTTCCCTACATTTCTCCTGCAACTGTCTGAGAGAGAATACCATGCCAATGGTGGATCTATTAGCCTGAAATCCACACTGTGGTTCTAGATAGACTGCAAGCACCTGGAGTCTCTTCAGCACAACATGGGCAAGCAGCTTCCCTACAACGCTGAGAAGAGAGATGCCATGGTAGTTATTGCAGTCACCTCTGTCTCCTTTGTTCTTGTACAATGTGACAATGTTTGCATCTTTCATGTCCTGTAGTACTCCACCTTCCCTCCAGCAAAGACAAAAGACTTCATACAGTTCGGTGGTGATGATCTTTTTACAGCACTTCAGCAGAGATGTTACCCTTTCCAGGTGCCTTGCCGGAGGCGAGGGAATCCAAGGCCGCTTTTATTTCTGCTAAAGTTGGTTCACTGTTCAACTCTTCCACGACAAGCAGGCACTCAAGGTTATTTAGTGCTTCTTCGGTTACTACATTCTCTCTGGAATATAGCTCAGAGTAGTCCTGCACCCATTTGCTGTGCTCAGTCCTAGCAGATTTCTTCTGTATTGGACCTAAAGCCTGTTTGATACCGTCATACATTCCCTTGACGTTACCTGTGTCCACTGCTATCTGTATCCAAGAACAGAGCCATAATCGTTGGAACATCTCCTGGCCGCCTGTTGGACTTGGCTATGAGCAGCTCAAAGAGCCTGCAAGTTGTACTCACTAGGACAAGCTTTGTATGCTGCTAGAGTTCTCCTCTTGTCCTTGATAGCTGGCATCAACCCCTCCGAACGGGCTTCGAACCAGTCTGCCGTCTTTTTGGTCTTCTTGCCAAATGTGGACAAGGCGGTGTTATAAACAGCGTTCTTGAAATGTTCCCATTGTTCAAGTGCAATTGCATCAGCCGGGCCTGGAAGGGTTTCCTCAAGTGCTTGGGCAAATTCCTCCACTTTTCTCTAATTGCGAGTCTTGCTGATGTCAATACGTGGTATTCCTTCCTTTTTCGTGTGATACAATCTCTTCGCTCGCAGTTTTACTCTACTACACACCAGGGGGTGATCAGTATCGCGACCAGCACTCTGGTAGCTGCGTGTGATCATAATACGAGGAAGGCTAGAATGTCTAGTGAGGATCAAATCGAGCTCATGCCAATGCATCGATCTTGGATGTATCCAGGAAACTCTGTGTTGAAGCTTCGTGTTAAAGAACGTGTTGCTGACACAAAGACCATAATAACAGCAAAACTCCAGCAAGCGTTGGCCGTTTTCGTTCATCTTCCCAGTGCCAAAACGGCCTAGACAAGTGGGCCAGTAATACTTATGCCAGTATAAACCCACAATAGAATCCTAGCCATTATATACAAAAACCACTTTGTTTTTATAGGTGTAGATACTTTATTTCCATATAAAACCTTTCCTTTCACCTTAGTGTCTATGCAAACTTCTCAAGTTTCTAAGAAACTTTAAACATTGTTGCTATATACATTCATTCAAGGTCTGCTTGAGAAATTTAATCACCATTATAGCATGTATCAGCCCAAATACTGCTTTGATTTGTTTATTGGCACAAGTAACACAACTCTAATATTGGCAATGGTTGCAACATTGTTTGCAATAACTATTTTCTTTAGCATTCCTTTGTCTGATTTTGTTTTCCCATGTACTTTAAACTTTTCTTTATCTTAGTTTCTTGATCCATTTCTTCCAAAACTACAGTTTCCATTGCTACTGAAGCTGGCTTGTGCTTCTTGAAAATATTACTATGACCAAATCTTTCTTGAAAATCTTCTTCCAGTATATATAAAATGTTGAGGCTGTAATCCTTAACACCAAAATGTATTTTGTTGTAGAAGTGAATAGAGCTTTCTTCAGATTAAGGAGATAATGACTGGGACTTTATTGTTTTAGTCCACTGAATATTTTTAATAATTTAAATAATACCTTAATAATTTATTTCTAAGAATCCCTTCAGCTTTGTTCTGAGGTATTGATCCAGATGCTCCTGATTTTCATTGTGTATCTTTTAATCATCCAAACATATAGCTGTACTTTCATAGACAAAGTTTATGGAGTAACCGAGCTGAAAGCTTACTTTATTTTTCTTCTGTTCGTTCACTTCTCCTCCCTTGACCTATACTGCCACGGCCCTCTCGTCTTTGCATTGTTTGGCATCCTCTGACAATGAATGGGCATCCTATATATCGCTGTAGAGGCTCACGTCTTCCTCCCTCCCTTCACTTCTTGATGCCTGGCACACTGTACCAATATGGGACTGATTCTTAGGGGTGCTTTAGTGTACTCAACCACTCCCAGCTTTTTGGCACGTCAGAGTTGTTGAAAGCCAAGATTTCAACTAGTCCTCGTATTACCATTTTTGTTAAGGGAGTGGTTTGTCGGAGAGCTTCCTTATGTAAAAACTTCCAATTTGGGGAACAACTTTCAGTTTGTGTACAAACAAGGCAGCACGAAAGGATGGCCGGTCTAATCAGTAACAATTACAGCAGCATTTCATTTTTTTTGGGGGGGGTGGTGGTATGAAAGCTGATAGCTTTACGCTATGGGTTGATTTTGACACGCAGTCCCTGTATCTGATATCAAAATGTGGATCTGTGCTTGTGAAATGCATTACTATTTCACACTGTCAGCAAAAATGCAAGGCCTTGCACTGAGGAGTTTCCAGTTTAAAGCTATATGCCTGGCAAGGAAGGATGCAATGGGTAAAATAATCTCTATAGCAGTGTTTCTTCCATGTGGAAGGGCCACAGTTCTGTCATTTAGAGGAGGTGGATTAATGGGGATAGGAGGATTTCTTAACATGAAGCAATTTGCCTCCTGAATTGTTCCTTTGATGCATAATTGTACCTTTGATGTAGGAGTGCAACAGGATTTCAGCCAGTGTAAGCTACTGTCTTGTAAAAAGAGGCCATTAAGTTACATTTTTGTATGTGCTACAGTAGCAGCATTGTTTAAAACTGAAAGGAATTTGTGAACTTAAAACTTAATTAAAAACCATTTAGATGAACAGCTCCCAACTTTGGGTCCGCAGATGTTCTTGGACTTCAACCCTGAGAAATCTGAACCATCACAGCTAGCGGTGAAGAGTTTTAGTCCAAGAACATCTGGGGACTCAAGGTTGGGAACCCCTGCTTTCCGTCCTCCTTTCCTTGAACACCCCCAGCTGTGAAAGAAAAATAAATCCTCCTTTTGGTAAGGTCTGAAAAATATGTGTGTTGTTGTTTTTACAAGCTTTGCTGTTGCTTGCACAGTTACATGGTTTGGATCTTTTGAAATGGAGTCTGTCATGAGATGTGATCCCATAGTCAGCTGCTAGTTTTGTTAAGGAAATTGTATCTTCAGCATCCTTCACAGGCATGAGAATATTTTCCGTAACTTAATGTGGAAATTTAAAATTGATTCTGTCAGTAGATTAGGGCTGTCAGGGTTGGTCTGTTCTTGGTTCAGGTTTTGGATGATTGGGTAGTTATAAGCATGCTCATTGTTTTTATAGAGCTAGTTTATCGAATATTGTAGATTCTTCATGCAGTATCATGCACATAATACAACACCAATAATTGGGGTGCTGGTTAGAGATGGATCAGATGCCTCTGAAGAAGTAACATCTTAGTTTTTGGGAGTCATGGAACATAGAAAGCTAAACTTTCAACGTGCTGTAT